ATAATCGAACAGTAGTATTGCATAGACATTGGTTGTCGGGTGGGTGTAACAAGATTTTACAAATGCACCTCATTTGACGCACAGATTTACACTCGAACCAAACCATTTTTCTATTTTCCCCCCTTTTCGGTTATTTCTGTCCATGATTGGATAGAAAAAAACGAACTACAAAATACTCCAAGATTTTTTTGACTTCATTCAAAAATAAAATCGTTTTTGTAGGATGGAAACTTTGTGAGGTCAAAACCCTCCACCCCCAAACTAAAGGAAATAAGTTTTTTATCTGACATCGATCTTTTGACGTCGTCCCTAACAATGTCATCTAGTGAAACAATATTAAAAATCAAAAATCAATTACCATGCAAAGTAGATATTTACCTACCTGTTAACAGTTTGGGGTATTTGGAATGCTCACAATTACCTAATTTGGGAGATCTACGAGTTTGCCCTCATAATCCTTTGAGTACTAAAGTGGACTCTATGAACCTTCCACAAAATAATTCCAATAATTGTCTGCTTTTTTCCCCACATGAAATTTGGCTAAAATTTGTGATCAAAAACCAGAAACAATATAACATTTTGTCTGTCCATTCGGTCCAAAATAAAATTGAATTCTATGAAATTTACAGAAAATGTGATAAATTGACTAGGTGCTGAAAGGGTTGAGTACTGTGAAATACTTTATTTTAGCTGGAATTAATTTTTGGGTGTTTTGTATGGAATTTATTTTTACTGATTTCTGATGAGTTGAATGCAAAATATAGAAAAATAGGTATATTCTCTTGATTTTATTACCACTGAATCATTCTTGCGCAAAAATTAATTCTAAGTGAAAATAAAGTATGTAACAGTAGTTTACAGTATGTTGTACCGGTATATAATGTGAAAGAAGGTGTTGTGCATGCAGAGACAATTGTGAAGTACAATGTTGGTTTACTATTATTATTTATTTACAAATGTTTATTACAATACTATATAAATTGACTATGTTTACTTTTCAGTTGGTTCCTGGTCTGGAAACTGAGAAGAGTCGACCTACTTCACTTGTGAATCGCTCATCAATGAATCTGTTCACTGCTATCAGTGGACAATCTAATGCCTAGTGTAGTATTACTATTATTTAAGAAAGTGATGCACAATGGTAGTTAATAAATGAAGCTGTATAAATACTGGATATAGATTAGTATTATCTAATAACACATTCATTTTTAAATTAAATTGGCTTGTTGAAATTTGAAAATATGTCTGTACACTACAGCTGAAAGTTGTTAGCTGGCAGTCACTCGATTGGTTACTCCTTGAACAGCGAAGTCATTTTTTTAAATACATTTTTATTTAGATATTTTATTGTAACATAGTATAGTTGTTTTCATTTCTTATTTTATATTAATTTTATGAAATTTTTGTATTTATGTTTTTGCTTTTGTTTACAGAATCCAGTTATGTGCACCACTAAGGTGACTTGTATAAAAATCTTAATATCGCTAAAATGACTGCCTATAATTGCAATATTCACTGAGTTTTAATAACGGTGCTATTTAAATTGTATAAAATTAGATGATATTTTACTATGTCTATGATATGTCTAATATTAATACCACTGCTTACAACTGGTGGGGTTAGGAGAGCTGGGAGGAGGACAGGTGTGACATGCTACATCCCCCCCCCCCCAACTCCATGATGTAAACAATAGTCTCCCAAAGTTTAACGTAGGATGTAACGGGCTTTTACTCAAATCTCTATCTGTCAACAAAATTTACTAGATTTAGCCCAGTATGTCGATGTCATCCTAGTGACTATGGCGATTACTGTTATCTTTGTATATTCTATGCAAAATGCAAGCTGCAGTTTTGTTTCCAAAATTTAACATGGAATAATTTTCTTCATATTTTTTCATAAATTTTGAATAGGACCTATGGGCAGTAGTGAATTATGTACAGTTTTATCCAAAATAAATAAAATAATTATAGAATAATACATTAAAATCAACAAAATGTTGCTCCATAATTTTGGCTAAAATAAATGTAGCAATTCAAAGGGTTATTAACGCTTATTTTTGCCGTGCAGCATGTGTTGCAACTTTTTGTGATGCCAAAATAATTCAAAGTAGCATAGATTTTGTTGAATAGCATTTAACTGAAGTGGCAGTTGGTTTGAGATGCTGCTTGACAGTGAACATGCAGTTCCCCCGAGCTGAATTGATGTAAAACATTATATGAATGTATCTTTTAAAGCTACCATAGATGGCGCTGTTTGTCATTAAAAACCTACCATAGATGGCACTTCAGTCTGAAGAAAATTTTATTTTAGTCTTGTATTTGTTGTATTTCTGATGTATAAATATTAGAACCTTTAACTGCCTTAATACAAGGAAAATTTTACAAAATTTACAGCTGAGTTAAAATTAAAATAAACTGATTAGTCTAATAGGTGCTGTTCTGAGCTTGGGGCAGTTTGTGAAATTTATCTGGTTTTTCAGCCAGAAAATATTGAAGCTATCCACTCGCATTACACTATGCAAATAAGGATGATTTTTAAACCTGTATTTGAAGTATTCTCCTATTGTAAAAACCTGTACTTGTAACATTGAGTGGTATATACTCACTAGAAATCTTTAATGTGTCCAGCACCTTGATGAAAATGAGAAATTTCTACAGACTGACATTCATGAGGGGTAGATGCTCATTCTTTAAAACTAACGTTTTTTTTTTTTTTATTTCCAAGTATTATAATTGCCAAACTGAATTCATACATTATATTTCTGTGACACATTATGCGACCGTCTTTTCTCACAATACACTCTCCTGAAGAGTTCTTAGATTTTATTACACTAGATAAAATGCAATTATTTGAAAAAAAAAAAAAAAGTGTACAATCTGATTTTGGTTTATTTTTAATTTCTGGTTGAAAAGATAATTTTAATACCTCATTTTATTTTACACTTTATTCTTTAAAACTTTATCAATCATTTTCCTGTATATTCTTATTATTAATGAACACAAATATACAATAGACCATTGTGATGTCACTGAAAGCACAAGAACTCCTGTAGAACAGTTATTATTTTAAAATCTTAGAGTTTATCGTGCTCCTACGACGATTGAAATTTAATCATACATTTGTACAAATAATTTCCGTTGTCAACTTGTGAATTTTAAACAGTTTAATTATTCTTGTAAAATATTTTTAGTTTGTAATTAGAGTTTTGTCTTTGTTGCCAATTGATGTGTTTTTAGTTTCCATATGGTCTTTTAAAGTGTATGTACATATTTAAAGTCCCAAATAGATTTGATGTTTTATGAAGGCTGCTTCAGCTTTGTGCCAATAAATGATATTGAATTCCATGATTGTCACCTCTACATGGCATGTTGCCATGACATTTTGGATAGGGTGGGATTTACGCGTTTCCCTTTAGAAAAGATGTGTTTATTTTTGAATGAGAATATTACGCAGAAATGTACAAATAAAAGAAATGAAGTGCTTTCAATAAAATAATTGCAAAACTACACTTTTGAGTACTTTTATTTGTTTTTTAATACTAGTATATTTGAATGTAGCTCCACATATTGTTTTTACTGGATTTGAAATTATAGTATACATATATAATTGAAAATCTTGCAATATTTTTTGGATTGTTTGGTATAAGAACAAGCTATGCATGGCACAGTCCTGTTATCAAATCCTAGTTAATAATTTTGTTTATGGTACAAGTACTTGTCCATATTGAGAGATATTGCTCTGGAACAGCACTAATTAAAATGGTACTGGTCGGCCATTTTGAATCGGGTCATCAAACCGTTACATCAGTATAATAATGAATATATAAAATTTGAACATCAGTCAAAGCATGAGATATGGCTCTAGAATTCATTGAAAAAAAATGGCCACCAGTCAGTCATTTTGAATCCGATCTGAAAAACGAAATGACGTCCATCAGGGGCGCAAAATGTCTAATGTATCAAGTTTGAACTAAATCCATCTGTAAACTGCCAAGAAATGCTTGATTTTGATGATTTTTCATTACTAAAATGGACGCCAATCTGTCATGTGTGAAGTTTGAATGTACATTGTACTCTGTCTAAGACGCAGGTTTGGACGTATGCACAGTCCCCATTTTCAGACTGTGTCCGAACAGGGACTAAAAAGTGAATTTCACTTTTTTTAATGTAACAATAGCAGCTTTCCCCACAACTCAAATTGGAAACATGATTTTTGAGCATTGCCTTACTTTTTGTTCTCATTTCAGATGAAGTCAAAAATCAGAGACTTAATTTGGAAGCCATTTCTCAGACATGCAAAAAGTCCATGTATGATGACTTGTATATGGGTGTAAATTTTGTTATTCCGATCAAATATTGCTGACTTGCAGCCATTGAAATCACACATTGGGTTAGAGTTGCATGTTTCAAACACAAATTGCAGATTGGCAGTCATTTTGTTATTATTTATGTCCAAGCCCATTTTTCACTAATATATTGCCTGGTACAGTTGAAAGTGTTATTTTGTCTAAATTACAGCATAAATTTTGTTTCAAGGTTATGCAAACCGAGTTATTTGATCTTAAATTGCTAAACATACTGTATATTGAGAGATGCATAAGCGCTGAAAAATGTTTCATACAGTGATTTTATTATAACTTTATCGGCGATGGCTTGCAAGATTTTGTTCAAACTCAGTTCCACTTACTGGAATTTGGTTGCACATTACATTTTTTAAGATTCAACCAATTATGCTCACCATTACAGTACATTACCAGTAGCAACACAGCACAGCACTATACTGGCAAAGTACACTCATAATCTAGTGCTAGCTAGCAATGGACATTAAATACAGAACGATGACTGTGCATTCTGTGCGTTTAATATTAAACCAGTCCTCAGTTGTACTGTGTTACAGGAATATTTCACAAAAAACTCTGAGATGAATAGCATACATGTACCCACGGGTCCGAAACGAGGTTTAGTCTGCATGCGCGTGTCATGTCAGCAGTCAACAATCTTTGATAGGATGACAACATTACAGTATGTGAACATGCATGCCATGATGTACAGTCTGTGTATATAAGTGAATTGTTGAAAGCATGACTGCTACATATTACCTAGATTATCCCTCATACATACAATAAATGATCAGACGATCAACTGCTGTCTGTTGTAGTTGTAAAAAAAAAACACTATTTTGACATGTTCAGACCTTAGGAATGTGTTAGTGGAAGGAATAACCATTAATCATTACTGGAGGTTGATGCACCTCGCTTTGATTTGTAAAGTCTATTCAAGATGGCCGCCTCATTCCATCTATCAGGTCAAAGACCTTTTGCATAAAATAAAAAATGTTCACTATGCACAGGTCTAGAAGCTAACTTATTCTGAAACAATTTCCTTCGAGATTGTTGGAAATAATGTACCAGGCATTTCATAAATTATAAACATAGCTACAATAAGATAAGTAGCCCATCATAGGGATGCAGATAGTAAAGCGACTGAATCAGTTATTTGCATTCAACATTTTTCTACCAATGGAACATACAAGAACAATAATGTGAACTGTTCTGTATTTTTATCAACACAAATTGACAAAGTGAATTTGCATCACATATTTAAGATAATTTTCATTAAAGTCTGCCAAAATGATATGCATATTACAACAAAATGATTAAAAGGATTGATATTTTAATAATATGATACACATGTTTTGGTTATCCACCCTGATTTCACAAACTACGGTATGTGTATTTTGTACTGCACAGCCCTCCATTATGAAATTGGAATAGGAGTTGAATGCTGACTTGATAGCCACCCAGACATCTTTTATTAATCAAAAGAAAAACAAATTAATAAAACAAGAATACAATTTATTGACATACATAATAAAGGAATACACTAGACAAAAATAATAGTTTACAAGGTTAATCTCTCTCATACAATATGCTCCCCCTTTCCCTTGTTTATTTAACATCCAGGAACTGCATCTTAGTGACTGAACAAGATTATCGCACATTCAGAAGACCCAATTAAGAATATCGAAATCAAGTGATTTTATTCTCGCTCAATCGGGTTGCTAAGCTTGATTTGCACAAATCAAGTTTGGCCAAAGTTAAAACATGAATGATAAAGATAAAAAAAATATGAAGCTATTTGATGTACTTTTCCATGAACTTTTTGTGAAAGTCTGATCTGAGTGTATCATTGATGAATTTACCATCTTTTTTGTCATCTTCACCTCTGGCGCAGTTTTTAAATACAACATCGTCATCCCACCTGCAAAAAACACCATGCCGGTAAATTAATTAATATCAACTCGACAGAGTTGTGTTTGAGAAAAAGCATCAGTCTGCAGACTGTGTCAAGTCAGGGGCTAAACAAGCCCATGAGAACCTCAAGCATAGTTTCCCCCATATCGCATTTGTTAGCGAATTAATCTTGGCCAGAGGATTTGACAACCACATTGATAGTTTGGCACAATCCCACAGTCTGTTTGCGATGTTAAACATCTAGATTGGTCCACTGCAACAATATACAACCAACCCCTATAGTATAAGTGATCAACAATACATTTGAATTGAATTCCATTTTAGAGGTTGAAGTACGGACCACAATGAAGCAAGGGCTTTCTTTGTTAAATTAGAAATAGCACACATGGCGACAAAATTACTGTAAAACATGTCTTTTTCGTGAGCATGTCTTTTTTAGCAAGAGAACTAATTCGCTAATTTAAGATGTCACTAATGACTTCATTATAAATTCAAAATGGCAGCCAAACAACGTCTTTTTCTCCACACACACTTTGTAAACAACACAGAAAACATAATAATCTGGAGCACTTCCTTATTACACTTTGACAGTTTTCTTTGTTTTTATGGAGGTGATAACTGC